GCAGTCCTGTATGATTAATTCTCCTGCGCAAACTTCAAGTTCCTTTTAGCAAATTTCTGCCACTGTTTTGACGCAAATACCAGATATTTACATCGTCACTCCCATCCAGCAGCTCCAGTTCCTAAATAAAGCGACCGACCCTGAACTTTGGTGCAACAGAAAAAAAAACAACGCTCACACTGAATCCAGACAAACCTAAACACACCACGACATCTGAACAAAGTGATTATGGTGACAAAAATAAGGAGAATCAGTCATAAATAATTTAACAATCATTAATTAAGATGGGGTATTATGTGTTTTTAAGGCACATAGTGCAATTTTATGCCAGATTCAAGTAACTAAGTAACCTTCAGTTGTTATGAAAATGTTGTAAACATCAAAAATAAATTTGCCTTTGCTTCAACACCTATCTAAATGCACTGATATTTGCCTCTGTCTCCATCATCAATGAAAATACAGTAAATGACTTTATCCCCAGCCTTTAATTCTAGAGTTGTGAGTGTCTTTGAAGTGACTTTAATAAACTTTTCCCCAGCGTGTAACGAGTCATGTTCAGTCATTAGTACCAACAGGGGTTGGCGGTGTTTACGAAGGGAGGAGGTCCCGGGTGGAGCTGCTCCACTTGTCCTCGGGGGACACATCTGGCTGCGTCTGTGACGAGTTATCAGGTTTAGATTTCAGGCTGTCCCCGCTCTGAGCCGGACACAGGAGACTTCCTGTGGTCCGGTCTGCGCAGCCTGACGATGAGCTCCGTCACATCTGTCTCAGTCAGAACAACACGCTGGCAGTGAGACAACAGCTGGAACAACTAGACCTGAGATAAATCACTGTTTGAAACTCTGCTAATTCTATAGCATTTCCACACTCGTTTTGTTTCCTTGTTTCTTTATTTTTCTGTATGTTTGTTTTTGACATCTGTCAATAAATTCAGCTCCTTCAGGAGATCTGAGCCATGACTTTTGGTTTTTGTAACTTAAATACTTTTCAAAATATTTAACTTCATTTACTTGATAATACATTAAAATCTCTTCAATTACTGCAGCTGCTGGCTCCATTTGTCTTCTGATGCTCCTTTTAACTTCATTTCTGCTACAGTTAGCTCTATTTTACTACTGCTAGTCTTGCTACTTTTAGCTAGCCTTTTGCTAATGTCAGCTTCTAGAGATCATTTTTGCTAGTTTTAGCTTTCAGATATCATTTTGTGACATTTAACCATTAGGTGTTTTTTTTATTACTTTTAGCTTTTTGCTAGTATTTTAATTCTTTTAACTCTTTCAGTTATTGCTATGCTAATTTTAGCTTTAAGCTATTCTTGTTATCTAACTGTTAGCTAGCTGTTACTTGTAGCAAGAGTTTTGCTACTTTTAGCTTTCCGCTATCATTTTGACATTTAACAAGTAGGCGGTCTTTTATCACTTAGTTTTTTTGCTAGCTTTTTGAAACTTTAGTTCTTTAGCTATTGTTTTGCTACTTTCAGCCTTTAGATCCTTTCAGATAGTCTTTGGATACCTTTTGCTTTTAGCTATCATTTAGCTAATTTTGACATTAAGCTATTATTTTGTTACCTTTAATTTAGCTATTTTTTGTAACTTTTAGCTAGTGTTTCGTAGGGGTGTAAGAAAATATCGATGCACTGAAATATCGTGATATTTCATTTCCCGATACTGTATCGATATGCTAAAGCCCTGTATCGATTTTTAATTAAGGTTTAAAATGTCAACTATCCTGCTAGCTGTTCATTTTTTATGTTGTAGTTCAGCCTCTGACCACTAGTCGGCAGCAGTGAGCCAGCCATTTGGATCTTCTACCTCTTGAGCGCCAGAGAGTAAGGGTAGCGTTAGCATTGTAAGTAAACATTAGCTTCACGATCCGATAGCTGAATCTGAGTGGAAAAG